AATTTCGCGAAATCCCGCGAAATCAGTGAATTCACTTGAAATCTTTGAAATCCGTGGAAATCACCTGAAATCTTGTGAAATCATGTGAAATCTTTGAAATCCGGAAATCAGGTGTACAAAATTTTTCGGAGTTGTGGGCCCCTCGAAAAATTCTCACAATTTCTATAGTCGATTTAAAAAAGTGATTTATTAAGACGTGAATTCCTAGTGTGTAAAATGACATGTATGCTTTAGGGGAAAAAACAGACGTGTATTTTTCTTTCTTATCCGGTTGAAGGTGATCGATGACGGTTCATTCATAAAAGTGTATTCATATTGGGCACGCACTACTTCTTGATGGCGGAGTTGATGAAGGACCGGATCTCCGGATTGGCCAGGTTGGTGAAGACACCTGGGGACCCCATCTGCGCGCAGCCCATGCCCCACGAGACGATGCCGATCTGCTGCTTGGTGGCCTTGTTGATGACGGGGCCACCGGAGTCACCCTATCGGTCAGAGGAACATTTTCGTTAGCACGTTTACCAAACTGTTAGAGAAAGGCTCGACGTTTCAGCGGTCGCCTTTCAGCGGTCCTACCTGGCAAGAATCCTTAGCCTCGCCGTCTGTCGTCATGCCGCAGATCATCCTGGGTGTGATTTCCTTCTCAAAGTCGCTGTAGTCCGACTCACACTCGCTGCGATCGGTGACGGCGATGTCCACCGATCGGACCGTGCCGGGTATCGGTTTGGAGTGCAGGGCCTGCGTGTTGGTCACACATGTTGATTGTTAGAGGCCATCTTACGCCCTGCGCGTGAACAGCTAGCTATGTACCCACGTCTGTGTATCCCCAGCCGATGAGGGTGATGACCGTGTCGGCCTTGGTGACCGTGTTGAGCTTGACGATGCTCGTCGCCTTCGTCTCCCGGTTGTTGATGGTGATGGGCTTGATGAGCTTGATCACGGCCACATCGTAATCGAAGATTGTCTTGTTGTACTTGGGGTGAACCGTGATAGTCTTTACACCGGATCCCTGTCCCTTGTACCTCCAGTAATCGGACCCCACCCTGATGTAGTAGGCCTTAGGGTTCCTATTGCTAAAGATAGATTTTGCGGTTAGCGAGGAATTGTGATAATTGTGCGAGAGAGTGGGGGCAAGCACATTGACAGAAAGCAGAAAGCCTTACTCAAAACAGTGGGCAGCTGACAAAATGTGGTATTTATCCAGGATCGAGCCTCCACACTGGGCTACGTAGGTTTTGCCCTTATACATGGTGACTGCCGCCTGAACAAAAAAGTAAATATTATAAGTTATTTCAGAGAACAGCGCGGGGAGTCCCCACTTGGTGGGCCCAGTAAATTTCGTGAGATAGTGCACACTCTTGTAGACTTGTGACATTCGAAACAAATATTATTGTCCGCGTTTACATGTCAGGTGCCCCCACAGTCAACGCTACCCGAGCTATGGCGCCTGATAAGCGGTTGGTAGGCCAACCCGTCAAGCAGCTATGCGCAGACGGCGGCCCACCCTGATGGAGCCTAAGTCCATCGGCTCGGCTCGGGCTCGGAGCTCGAGCAACTTTTAACGTTCGGCGCCCAACGCTCCCACGCGCACCCTCGGGGAACTTTCATTGTGGAGGCAGCTTTACAAGCATTTACGTAGACAGTTGTCGTACCATGTAGGGGAAATTTTTAATTGAAGTTGCAACTCCACCGATGATTTTCTGCTCCCCAAAAGTATTTGCATTGTGAGAAACAGCTTTCTTTCCGACTGAGAAACCAGTGAATAAAGTGTTGGCTGCAACAAAAAAATGATCTCTTTTGAGTGACTTTCGACGCGAAATAGGGGCGGCAGTCTGGAGAACCGAGCATTACTTACAACCACCCGCAGCCGTCCCCGCGAGCGCGAACAAGGCCAGCGAGGCCAACGTTATGGTGGAAGACAACATGGTCGTGTGTTTGCGCGGGGCACGCAGAGTCGTCTTTTAAGAGCCTCGGGGACGGCCAGCTCGGCCGTAGGGCGTGACTCCCATCCACGGAGTCCTGACTATAATTATAAGATCTGAAAATGAAATTACTTTCGGCTAGGGCACACGGCATTTTTGTTGTGTCGCCTCTGACAATATATGTAGATACGACTCACGTTCTAAGGGAGTGGGAGAGTGGGCATAGAGCGCCCGCATCGCGGCCACATTGGTCATTTTCTCCAATTCTCAGAAGACTGAAGTTCGATCACCATTAAAACGGAAAGAGATAAGTAAACGTTTGCCACTCTAAAAACAAGATAGTTTGGTAAGGTGGGGAGGGGGCGGCCATGTGTGGCTAGGTTTTGGAACTTTTTCTAACAAAATTGGCTTGTTTCAGAAAGATTGTGTTCTGTGTAAATAGTAAGGTCAGTGTTTATGTAAAGAAGTGCTCATCTGGCTCTTAATGCAAGTATTAGACTTTTCCAATCATCAAAGATTGAGAGCTTTGTAGCAGTAAGGTAAAGAATAATAGTGAGTTTGTAGATGCAAAGAATGTAATTGAGCAGTCAAACATTCATACTAACATTTTAAGAACAGTTTCTTAGAGTAGTATTTACAATATTTCTAAAAAAATAAACGGATATGAAAAGCCACTTTTCATTTCTTTCTAACAGTATTTACATAGAATGTCAACAACATCAGCAAGTCTTATATGTTTAGGTACCTCGTGTACCATTATCACTTTACAAGGCTTGAAACAACTTGGTGAACAGGGTAAAATCTTAAAGTATCAGCAATAAGTCAGCTTTTCTTTTACCACACACATCTCTAAAACTTACACTATATTGTCAACTCAGCAGTTTCAAAGGAGAATTAAATTGATTAGTTACTTTGACTTAAAACTGTGAGTGTTGAACCTTATAATTCAATACTTGTTTCTGGTATAGCTGCATAAAATTTGATTGGAACAGAATCAACCCCCATGCTTGTCTATAACTG